GTTCTTGCGGGCCCATTCCTGCCTTCCTTTCCTTTTCTCCTCAGCCCCCCTCATCCCTCCTTTGCACCTTTCTCCTCTCCTCCGCTGGTTCTCTCCTTCCTCCATTCAGGATAAGCCTGGTAATCAGTGGGGTCCTTTTTCTTTTGTTGTTGCAACTCAGGGCCTCACAATGGCTAGGCAGGTATCTAACACTTGAGTCACTCCTCCAGTCCTCCTGGGGTCCTTTCTCATCTTTGGCACTTACAGGAGTCTTGGGAGCTTGTTCCAAGCCAAACATCCTCAGAGCCAATGCCCTAGATGTACATGGGTTCGGTTTCTTTCAGACGTCTCATCCACTTGTTCAAGAAATACTGCTGGTGGCCTCCTCTGTGGTGAGCCCTGGTTTAGCCTAGGGCTAATGGGACAAATGAGACAGATGTGGTCCCAGTTCTCATGAAGAGGAGCAAGGAGGGACAGGAATAAATGAATCCATAGATGGTTGTGGTGACAGATACCACAAGGGAGAGGAAGCAGCAGGTGACATAGAGTGTGGCTGGGCAGGCCTCATGCAGCGGCAATGCTGGAGCTGAGACCTGGATGCCCAGGCAGGGGTCTTTGTCACAAAAGCCAGATCCCACTGTGGTTAACCAAGAAGGAAAGGAAAGGGAGGGGGTGGGGGCAGTGGGGAGAAATGAACCAATCCTTGTATGCACATATGAATAATAAAAGAAAAATGAAAGAAAAAAAAAAAAGGAAAGGAACACACTGGATGGGTATCAGATAGTCCAGGGAATGGGCGGGAGGCCTGGAGAGTCAGGTGGTACACAGGCCATTGCTAAGGTGGCAGCCACAACCCCCACCAAAGTCACAGGCAGCAGGGTCTACTTAGGCCCTTCAGAGGGGCCTGACCATTGGCCCCAGATTACAGGCTTGACCTCCACTAGGCCTTTCCTTGGAGCTACACATGCTGGCTTTCACCTCCTGCAGAGTGACAGCAGTCTTTAAAAAAGCCCCACATGATTGACCCCTTCCCCTCTAAATTCCGTCCTGTTCTGAACAAAATGGCCTTGCTGCTCTCCAAGCCTGCCTCCAGGTGCCTTGGTTCCCTCCACCTGGTTCCCTCATTGGTTCCCAGATCTCCTCAAGGCTCCCTCCCCTACCTCCAAGTTGCCTCCTCTGCAGGCCCACCTGACCTATTTAAGGCTAACCTCTTCCCACCTAATTCCATTTTTTAAAAACAGGGTCCACTATGTGGCCCAAGCTGGCCTGGTACTCTGGATCCACCTGCCTAAGCCTCCAGACTATGAGGATTACAGGTGTGCACCACAATGCCCAGCCCTACTTGATTTCTTTTTTACAAAATAATGCTTTTCTTTTTTTGTACTGAGGTTTGAACTCAGGGCCTTGAGCTTGCTAGGCAGGTGCTCTACCACTTGAGCCATGCCCCCAACCCAAGAAGGGGTTTCATTATGACATTTTCATAATGTATACAATATACTTTGATCATATTTGCCTCTGTTTTCCTCTCGTCCCCCTCCTCCACCTGCTGGTTTCCCCAGAAGTCCCCTGTTGTGTTCGTATCTTTTTTATTTTTAGCTCACCTAAGTTCTTGCTCTTTTTCTCCGCCCCCCCCCCAACTGATGTCTTTATGCCCACACTTTTTTCTTGTCACCTTCTCACACGTCATTATTGTATTTTCTGTTTGTGGGTTATCTTGCCCATGACGTTCCAGGCGCCTGGCATCAGCGTTCATGCCCCACAGCTGTTTGCAGAAAGAATCCCTGATTGCATGATGTACTTACTGGTCCCGGGGTGGCTGATAACATGATGTACTGGTCCTGGTGTGCGAAGTTCGGAGAGGCATGGGTTTGAATTCCGGTTATGTCATCGATCGGCTGTATGATTCACATACGCATTTTAGCCTCTCAGAGCCTGTTTCCCCATCTGTAACTTGGGAACCTGCCTCAAATGGGTTCTTAGTGGAGAGGAAATGAGACCAGGTGCTAAGTCTCAGTCACCTTCTCATTCTGCCCACTCTCCCTCCAAATCTACAATGAGCTCCCAAGCCAATGTGATCGCAATATGACGTTTCCATTTACTGTGGATTATATGTCATTATAAATATTAACAAATAAGACTTTAAAAGGACACCTTCGGGAAGGTCAGACGAAAGTACAAAAATTGTGTCGTGAGGCTGCAGTTTGAGGACAGTTTCTACAGCCATCACATAGTAGCAAAACGGTGCTAAGCAGTGCACGAATCTGGGTCGACAACAGCCAGAGTCCATGCATCGGGCGGTTCACTCGGTTTGAGAAGGAACAAGGGGCAAGACATGCACGGCCCGGGCTCAGCGGGCGGGCGGGCCGGGGAGGTGCAGTTCCTCGCTCTCGCCACTAGAGGTCAGGAGGTTGCCGCCTCAGCGTTGGAAGACAGGCCCGTCGGGGATTGGCCAGTGGAGGCAGTGGGCGGGGCGAAGACCAGGGCGCGAGGCTACCCACTGGAATGATTTTTTTATTTTTATTTTTTAAATTTGTTTTTTGTTCTTTTGGTTTTACCAAACTTTTTTTTTTTTCGGTACTCGATTTTTATTTTATTTTTTTGGCATCAGATTTTTCTTTGTTGGGCTGGTGGACCAAAGGAAAGATGCCCATTTGGGGTCAAAAGCAGGGCCAGTTCTGCCATTTCTCAAAGGGCTTTTTCTTGAACAGAAATGCAATCTGCACAGGGCTGGTCGCAGGATCCTGGGGAAAGTTTAGTGACTTCTTAGGGATTTTCCGCCCAGCATCCCAACTTGCATCTGACCTAGCTGGTCAGAAGCTCTACCTCCCAGCTGACCATCGTTCAGGACCAAGTCCCCTTCTGCACAGTCTGGGGCACCCGAACAGGGCCCTTCCCCTCTCTGGGCCTCAGTTTCCTCATGTGTCTAGTAAGGAAGTCACACTAGGTAGGGCTCATAGCCCCTTCTAGCTCTACCATTCAGCACTTTCATGTCTTCACAGGCTGCCAGTCCTCTGTGAATGAGGCACCAAAAAATGAGATACCCAAAGCTCACCCTTAAAAATAGCCTCCTCTCTCCTAGGCCCTCAGAGGCTCCCCATTCTAGCTGTGTGGAGGAAAGAGGAACCCTTGCCTCAGTTTCCTTGACTACAGGCTGAGGGGTGGGAGAGGCAGCTGGGTTCCAGGACCAGGCTGTGACTTATGGGGAAGCCTGAAGTGGCACAGCTGGTTTCAAAGCCAGCTAGAGGTGGCAGGACAGTGACAAGGCCCCATATCTCCACTATGTAACAGACTACCAAGTGCCCGAGAGTCAAGAAAAAAAGGACCTGGGGGAGTCCTCACCCCCAGAAAATCAAAAAGCCTAGGTTTCAGTCCTGATTTGTCCCCTCCCAACTGGCCAATTTCTCAGGCGCTGAGTCTCAATTTCATCTGCAAAATGGGGCTGACCACTCCTACTACCTCACCAGGTTGTCAAGATGCATTCAGACAATGCCTGCTGACCCCAACACACAAGGCAAAGCCTTCCTTAATACGGGGGAACCCAGTCTCCACTAGCAACAAGAGTGGCCAGGTGCTGCAGGGACTGGAGACCAGTTTTCCCTGCCAACTGGGGAAGAGCTCGGAGGCACCTGGGAATGGAACCTGACCCTAGGCCTTGGATGTCATTTCTGGATGTGTTAGCAGGTCACCTTCCCTCATGGGGCCGCCTTGCCCTGTCGCTCGGGGATGGGTTGAACACAGTGGGTCTCTGGAACCCCTTGCTTCTGTATTTGTCCATCCAGCATCCCTGATAGCCCTGGTGGGTGGGAGACAGTTGAGGGCTTCCAATCTGGGCCACAAGATTGAGACGCTCTCAGCTCCTTCCTAGAGAGAAAGACTGGCAAAGCCTCTCTCCCTTAGCTCACAGAGGGCAGTCAGCTCCACAGGCCTCCTGGAAACAAGTCCCTGGACTGCTACCAATATTCCTAAAAGGGACACAAGCCATCATAGTAGGGCGAGGATGCCACAGACAGCCAGAAGAGGGCCTAATACCCAGCCAGAGCCCAAATGGGACAGGATAGGGGTGAGGAAGGAAGGACAGGAGAATGCTTGCTTCTTTTCCTGCCCAGGGGACCCTTTTCTCTTCTTGCAGCTGTTGCGACACTTACTCTAACCCTCAGGAGGAGAAAGAGATCAAAGTGGGAGATCTGGGTCTGAGCGCTGAACTTAGCCTTGTACCAACCTCAGTTTCCCCATGGTGCTTCTGCCACTGACCCCCACTCCCTGCCAGGAGTACTCTTCTCCAGAGCCACCCTGGGTCCATGCAGCTGCCTGGTCCTACCCTCTTCCTCTCTCCTACAGCCCCCTAGACCTCCCACTGCCTAGACTGCCCTTCTCCTTTACCTAGGAAACCCCTCCCCCCCTTCAAGACCTTGCTGAGCACTGCCTCCTCCAGGAAGCCTTCGCTATCCTCCAGCAGTCAACAGTAACCACAGCACTTACAGTGCCCTCTGGTCCTTGCCTTCCTCACCCCCTTGAAATGGTTGCGTCCAGCTCCCTCCCTGGACTGGGAGCTCAGGGAGGGAAGGCCTTGTGTCCCATTCCCCCCACCCTAGGCTTGCAGACTCCTGTCCACTGGTGCCTCCAGGAAGTTCACCAGACTCTCTCCACCTGCCCATCAGTGCCAGAGAACGGGCGTGATTGGGAACTCCACTGGCGTCCACCTGCAGTCTCCCTCCTCCACTCTCTTTGCTCCAATGGGAGCATGAAGCTCTGGCACTTCTGTGCTCTCAGCCTATGCCTTACTGCTGACCTGGGGAAGGGTCCTCAACTGTGGATGGCCCCACCCCTTCCCAAGAAGTGCTGAGGTCCAGGCCAAGGACTTCTCCCAGTGCTGTCCCATCCGGGTCTCAATGGGCTGAAAGCAGGCCCACCACTCTGCTCTCCCTGGGCGCTCCATGTCTTCTAAGCTGGGGCTGCAGTGGCTCTGTCAGAGCAGGTGTCCTGGATTTTGCCCAAGGTGGGAGCCACAGCCCTTGGTGGCAGCTGAGGAAGCCCGGGGCCAGGCCTGTGTGGGCCCGGGAGGCAGGGATGGGTGGCAGCAGGCGGGGCAGTCAGTCGCTGAGCACGGCCCCAGGAAGTTCGTTGGTGAGCGTGTGCCAGCGCTCAATCCGCTTGTCCTTGTTCTTCAGGCAGTCAAACCAGTGCTTCAGGCGCTCGCCTTTGGCATTGATGCCCAGAACCACGCCGCCTGCGGGAGTGGCCAGCAGAGTGGCCAGGGAGTCTATGACCTCAGTGCTCAGGATCCCAGGACAAGAGCTCCCTCCTAGATTCTGTGCTCCTGGCCCAAACCCTCCCCATGCTTTCCAGGTTGGTGTGTACAGAGCATCTGACATCCACTCACACACACTGTGGCCCCTCAGCCCAGGACCTCTGTCCTGCTCTTTCTCTACTGGGGATCACACCATACTGGGCAGCATGCAGTGATGCACATTAGGGGTTGAAGAATGGGGACCATAAAAGGGAAGGAAGAGCCTAGATAGTCCTAGTGTGTATAGATGACACACCCACCAGGAAGCTGGGACCACATAGGCCCAGTCCAACCCCAGACTCTGACCATAATCTTCTCAACACAGACTGCTGTGTGGCCCTTTTCAGGCCTCTTCTTCCCTCTCTGGGCCTACCTTTTGTCGCACAGGGTCAGGGTGGATAATGTCTGAGGTTCCTTATGCTGGGGACAAGCAGTTCATGGCCCCAGTCACTAGGAAGGAGGGGTTATGGCCTGATTCAGGGTCACTACTGTTGGCCAACCCCCGGAAAGGTTTAAACAGCATTCTCATTGTGCCACTTACCAATGAAATCGTTGGATTTTCCAATGTCGTAATCCCAAACTGTGACCTCTAGGGTCTTCTTGGCCAGGTCCCCGTGCTTAATCTCGTAACAAAACTCCTACTGGCCAAAAGGGAAGTGTTAGGGCCAAAGGCCATACAGCCAGGAGGGCTCTGCAGTGTGGTGAGATGACAGGGAGGGACAATCCATGGAGTCTCACTCATCTTGCCCACTTCTACCTGAGGGCCCAGCTGGGGTCCCCAGCCCCTCAACCACCTCCGCTTTGTACCTGGAGCTGTTCTCTCCAGATGCCTACGAGTCCCCCTACTGCGACTCATTGTCTGTAAGTCCTTGACTTCTGGACTGGCTTCAATGGCCATGCCCTTCTCTGTGGACCCCTCTCTCTTGCCAGTTCCTGGGACTTTCCACCATTTGGTGTTCCCCTCCCCTTGCCTAGGAACCATCTGAAGTCCTAGGTTCACCTGAGGGCCTTCTGTGTTCTTCCCCTTGTGGGATGCCCCAGATCTGTGTGTCCAGTTACACACCTCTCCCATGCTGAGGACATGGGTGTCACTCAGCCCAGCCTTCCCAAGACCCAAGGGCATCTTGACTACTTAAGCCCAATCTAGGACTTCTCCCTATCCCAGCTCTATTACCCAGTGAGGAACTGGAAATTCCCTCAACATTCCCTTTTTCCACCCCTGCATCCAACATGGCCACCACCCCATCCACTGGCTTCTCTGAAAAGCTTCCCATCACCTTCCTCACATCACCGTCATTGACACCACTACCGTCTGGGGCAGCCTGGTGGGTGCCTCACCCCTTCCCCAGGTTTGTGGCTCTCCTGTCAGCTGCTCCCCACCTTCTCTTATGACCTTTGCAATCCCACAGTGACCCTTTGAAAATCTGGTCCCTTCAGGTCCCCACCCACCATGGGGAGAGCCAGAGGACCCCTTGTCATACCTCGTTGAATTCTGGGTTCAGAGTTTTCTTCTTTACTGCTGTCTTATGTTTGGATTTCTTGTCCACATCTGGCTTCAGGTATCTAGAATTACAATGCAGGGAGAGGCAGGGGCTGGGGAAGAGTCCAGGGTTGCAGATGGAGCCAGTGGGGCTGGGAAGAGGTTTTGTCCGTGGGGAGTGTTCCCACCCACCCCTGCCCTAATCACAAACTTTCCTGCACTGCCTTGTGGGCCAGGGTAGTGATCAGATGCAGTGGGAGAAGCAAGTCGTCCTGTGCCCAGTCCTGACGGTATGCCAGGAAGAGGTCTAATTTTCTGCAAGTCTAGTTTTCACAGAACTCCTATTTCCCACCAGGTAAGCATTATTAGCAGAGTTGATCCCTGGTTCAAGAGGTTCCTTTGGTCTTTTAAAAATAGATTTAAAGCAAGGCGTGGTGGCACAAATGCCTGTAATCCCAGCACTTGGGAAGCAAAGGCAGAGAATCTTGAGTTCAAGATCAGGCTGGGCTACATAGTGAGTTCCTGTCTCAAAAAAAAAAAAAAAAAGCCACAGATTTATTGAGGTAGAATTCACATACCATAAAGTCCATCCTCGGGTGTAAAATTCAGTGTTTTCAGAATAGTACCAGAGTTGTGCAGCTATCACTTCTCCCTCATGGGCACTTTGAGGGAGGAAAAGGCCTTTTGGTAGTAACAGGGGCACTGCTCATAGGGAGAAGAGGCCAGCCTGAAATTCTTCCCTCTGCCCACACTGACTCCTTAGACTTTGATGCAACTGGTTCAGAGAGGTGGAGTGACTTGTCCAAGGTCACACAGCTGACAAGCACAGAAGTGGTGCTTGGAAACCAAGCCCAGTGACAGGGAGTCATGTGAAGGCTAGAGAAGTGGAGGAGGCCACAGCTCTCCTCTGCAGAACCTTTCACCATGTCCCTGAATGAATAAATGTGTGACAACCACCTGGTTCCTGCAGAGTGTGCCTGGGGTGACAACCATGTCAGCCTCTCCCACCAACAGCTTCCTGGCACCTGGTTCAGTGGCCAGCACTGGGAGCTCAATATCTACCTACTGAATATATGACTGAATTCCTAGATGTGCAATGACACGCCCAAAGCCAGGTGGCATCAAAGCTTCTTATTTGGTTTTGCTAAACTACCCTCCAGAAAGACTGTGTGGGTGACACCCAGCCTGTGGTAGAGCTGGGTACTGTAGCTTTAGAAATCTTTGCTTTTGCTGGTGGTTTATGCCTATAATCCTAGCTACTTGGGAGGCTGAGACTGGGAGAACTGTGGATGAGGCCAGCCCTGGCAGGGAGTTCTGGAGACCGCATTTCAAAGTAAACAAGATGAGAATGGTAGCAACTGCTTATCATTGGGGTCCGGGCTGGCCTGGGCAAAGAGCAAGACTCTAGTTCCAAAATAACCAGAAGAAAAAAGTCTGGGAATGAGGCTCAAGCAGTAGAGAGTCTGCCTAGCAAGTGTGAAGCCCTGAATTCAAACTTCAGTACCACCAAAAAAAAAAAAAAGAAAAGAAAAGTCTTTGCTGGCACCTCATGGTTGCTGTACTTTGCCATTTATTTATTTTTAATTTATTATTATTATTGTTTTTGTGGTACTGGGGATTGAACCCAGGGTCTCAGTGCATACGAGGTGAGCTTCTACCACTCCAGTTCTCTTGTTTGTATTTCTTTTGAGACAGGATCATAACTTTGCCCACTCTGGCCTCAAACTCACAATCCTCCTGCTTCCATCCTCCACGGAGCTGGGATTAGAGACCTGCACTACCAGGCTCCGTTATGCGTTTTCATATTAGGGACTGGGGCACCCTCAGATTTTGGTATCTTCGGGGATCCTGGAACCAATTCCTCCCTGATACCGAGGGACAACTATATTTTCTATCTTAATTGTGGAGGCAGTAACAAGATTGTACATGTTGGTCAAACTTCAAACAGGGAGAAACTTACTGTATGTAAATTCTATCTCAGAAAACCTGACTTTTTGGAAAAAGTTGGAGGTTCCTTGAACCCAAAGATGGCAAATTTCTTTTCTCCCAAGTTTTCGTACGCGTGTTGGCCAAGTCACTACGCACTGGTATTTTGTTTTCTGTGCATTGTCCTTTGCCTGATTTGTTTTGGGGTAAGGAGCAAGGGAAAGCCCTGCGAGTCGGGGCGTGCCCCTCTCTCCCCTGAAGCCCCTGGAAGGAAGGTTGTTCGGGATTTCTGGGCCCTCAGCCCTGAACAGCTTGTGTCCATCGGGTGACTCTTCACCCAGCCACCAGGTTCCCAACCCAGGCACCAGTCTCTGACTTCCAGCCTTGTACAGTGCCACTAGGACCATCATCGGTCCTGCCGCAGGCTTAGTTCTGTGTCCTCGCACTGGGCGCTCAGCCCTTTCCTCTCGTCCCGCCTTTTCGGCCTCGCCCCGCCCCGCTTCCTGGCTCGGCTTGTCTTCCACGCCCCGCCCCCCGCCCCGCCCCGTCGGCCCTCGCCCCTCCTTCCTGGCTTGGCCTGTCTTCCACGCCCCGCCCCCGCCCCGCCCTCCACGGCCCCGCACCGCCCATCCCACCCCACAGCCCCTGGGGCTCCCTCAGTGCCCTTCCCGCACAGACGCCAGAGGCCTGACCCATGGCGCCTCCCCTGCCCTCGCTGTCAGGACCTCCTCCTGCATCGCCGCAGGCGCTCATGTACCGTCCTCGTGTTTTGCCACCTCTGGTTCCTCTTGCACAACATTTCTCGCCTAAAGCTCCTAGAAGGAACCCCTTTGGTTATTTATGGAGAGAGAGCCCCAGTAGGAAGGGAGCGGCCCAGGATGGCATAGCAAGCTGCTTCCAGTTTTCTGGGGTTCCCTGGAATGAAATGGAGGCGGCAACAGGAGCGACCGCAAGGGCTAGCAGGAGGTTAAGTGAGACCGCGGCACAGCCCTGGCAAGTAGTTGTTACTTAACATGTTAGCAATTATTATTATGACCCTGGTGTTTCCCATCGCAATCAGGAGCTGCGCCTGGGGTCGACTTTACCTGGGGAAACTGAGGCATCTGTCACCAGGGATGAGGTTTATGAAAATAACATCACTGACAAAAAGCCTTGGCCCATGGAGGCTTGCTTCTCAGTGCCCAGCCACGTGACCCCTCCCTAGCTCTCCTGGGTCACAGTGCCTCATCAAGGTCACAGCCAAGGCTCTGAATCTATCCTGCACCCTCATGTCTGCTGCTTAGAAGAAGGAGTAGACAGTGGCTTCAGGTTGTATTTGTGTCTGAAGAGAAACAACAATACAGGTGGAGGTGAGGGTGCAAAACTGACCTCTCCAGAGGGTTCCTGTTCCTCTTAGAGACCACTACTCAAGAAATGCTGCCTCAGTGTAAGAAATACAGCAGCCCCTCCGAACCTGTGTGGGGTTGGTTCCAGGACCCTCTCAGATGCCACAGTGTAGGGATGCTCAGGTCCCTCATATAAAATGTCCTCATACCTGCACACATCCTCCTTGGCACTTGAAGCCATCTTGAGATTACTTTGTGATGCCTCATACAGTGAAATGCTATGTAAATAGTAGTTATGCTGTACTGTTTGGCGACTAATGACAAGAAAAAATTCTGTACATGTTCAGTATAGCTGCAATTAGTTTTTTAAGCAGGCGCATTTACCCTTTGAGCCACTCCACCAGTTGCAATTAGTTTTTTGAATAGTCTTTTGATCCCAGCTGGCAGAATTCACAGGTGCAGAGCCTGGGGTCTGGAGGGCTGACCATTTATGTAAACGGTAACAAACTGTGCATGGTTCTGCAGTTTGCTTTTTGGCTCAGCACATTTTGGATAGCTGTCCATGTTAATTCATCCACTTCTAATTTATTCATTTTCACTGCATAGTATTCCATTCTACACAGATGCCATATTTTATTAATCTATTCTGCTGATGAACGTCTGGCTGTTTCCAGATTCTTGCTATCATGAGCAATGCTGCCATAAACAGCTTTCCAACTGCACACAGGTTTCTAGGAGGCAAACCTGGAAAGATGATCCAGCCATTAGCGTGCACACTCTCCACCTTCCTTGGACCTCCACCTTTCTCCCCGACATGATAAATGAGTGTGCTGAATGTCTTTTCACATCCGCTTGTTCCTTGCACAGTTGGGTTTCTAATCCACTAGAAACCCAATATACTATTTTGCTAATTTTTGAGGTTGGGCCCAATTCACTGCTTTTTTCATATGGAAAACCAGTAGTAGCCCCAGTAGCACTTTTGGGGAGCCCCCCAACAATACAGAAGCTATCCTTTACACATGGTCGCTGCTCTTGGAACTTGATGGGATCAGGTTTTTAAAAATAATTACTTTTTGCCAAGTGCAGTGGCTCTCTCTACTTAGGAGGTAGAGATCAGAAGGATCACTGTTTAAGGCTATCCCAGGGAAATAGTTAGGTGTGGGGGCACACCTGTAATCTCAGCTGTGAGGGAGGTCATAACTTTAAGGATCGTAATCTGAGGCCTGCATGGGCAAAAATGTGATACCCTACCTGAAAAATAACTAAAGCAAAAAGGGGTGTAACTCTGAGTTCAAATCCTAGTACTTGCAAAATAAAAAAGAACTGCTTTGCTGAGATATAATTTGCATACTGTACATTGCATCCTTTTATGTAACTTATTAATTTTTGGTGGCACTGGGTTTGAATTCAGAGCCTCACACTTGCTATACAGGCACTCTCCCACTTGAGTTACTCTGCCAGCCTTTTTTTTTTTTTGGCACTGAGGATTGAACTCCGGCCTACACTTTGAGCTACTTCACCAGCCCTTTTTTGTGAAGTTTTTTTTTTTGAGGTAGGGTCTCACGAACTATTTGCCCCAGCTGGCTTCGAACTACGATTCTCCTGATCTCTGCCTCCTGAGTAACTAGAATTACAGGCATGAGCCACTGGTGCCCGTCCCCAATGCACTCTTTTAAGGGGTACAGTTCAACATTTTTAGTATATTCAAGAATTGCAGCTAGGTGCAGTGGTGCAGGAAGCTGTGGCAGGAGGATCTTGAGTTTGAAGCCAGCGTGGGTTACAATAAAAGACTGTCTCAAAACAGAATTTTAAAAAAGGCTGTCCATGTAGCTCAAGAGGTGCAATAGCTTGCCTAGCCTCATGCCTGTGGCTCAATCTTCAGTACAGTGTGCAAAAAAAATAAAGGAATTGTGCAATCATTACCAGAAGCAATTTTCAAGTATTTTCATCACCCCCAAGAGAAACCCCAGAACTCTCTAGCAGCCATTCTCCATTTCCTACCAACTTCCCCACCCTCAGCCCTGCCAACCCGCTGACCACTAATCTTGCTGACTCTGGATTTGCCTGTTCCGGCTTTGGAGACAGGTGGAATCACATGGCATGTGGTCTTTTACGTTTGCCTTCTTTTATTTAGCACAGTGTTGTCAAGGTTCATCCATGCTGTAGTGGACCAGGGCCCTAGGGATTAGGGGTCCTCCAGGAAATGCCATATAGGAATGAGGATGGGTCACCCACATGAGTCCTGAGCCAGAAGAAAGACAATCTTCATATGCATATTCCCTCTCCTCCCCTCCCATCCCCTCCCTTTCCCTTTCCCTCTCCTTTCCTTTTTTGTTTTGACAGTCAGGGGCCTTTGCTTTAGAGTCAGGGGCCCTACCACTTGAGCCATGCCCCTGCTGTTTTGCTTTAGTCATCTTTCAGATAGAATCTCATGCTTTTTTTTTTTAAACATTTTATTAGTATATGAGGGTCATACAGGGAGGTTTATTGTGACATTTCCATATATTGTATACCAGTTTGGTTCATCCCCTGATCTCATGCTTTTTTTTTTATCCAAGGGCTGGCCTTGGACCTCAGACCTGCCTAGGCCTCCTCACTAGCTGGGATTACAAGCACACACCATGGCCTGGGTGCTTTGTGCTTGCAAAGCAGGTGCTCTACCTCTTGGCCACACCTCCAGTCCATTTTTGCTCTGGTTATTTTGGAGATGGGGGTCTTGGGAACTATTTGGCTGGCCTCGAACCTCAATCCTTTCAATCTCAGCCTCCCAAGTAGCTAGGTTTACAAGCACGAGGCACCAGTGCCCAGCTGTTTTCTCTGTCTCTCTTTTAAAAAAAAATTTATTTGCTTGTTTATTGGGCAGCACTAGGGTTCGAACTCAGGGCCTCACACTTGCGTGGTAAGCACTCTTACCACTTGAGCCACTTCATCAGTCCTTTTTTGTGGTGGTTTTTTTGAGATAGGGTCTTGCAAACTATTTCCCTGGGACTGGCTTTGAACCACAATCCTTTTACCTCTGCCTTCTGAGGAGCTAGGATTACAGGCATGAGCCACTGGTGCCCAGCTCCTGTTTTTCTTTTAAAGTGGGCAAGCATTTGGACTTAGTACCAGGCCTTATGACCAGGGGCTCCAGTTTATCAGTACAGGTTGACTATTTCTTATTCCAAATGCTGGGCTCAGAAGTGTTAGAGTTTTTTTCTAGATTTTGGAATATGTGTATAGACATAATGAGGTATGTTGGGATAAGCCCAAAGTCTACATACAAAATTCATTTACATTTTACACACACCTTATGCATAGAGTCTGAAGTAATTTTACAGAATATTTTTGGGCTGGCGGAGTGGCTCAAGCAGTAGAGCACCTGCCTAGCGAGTGTGAGGCCCTGAGTTCAAACCCCAGTTCCACCAAAAAAAATACCCCAATATTTTTACAACAGGTACTTAGATGCTGCTTTTGCTAAAAAGCACTGACTCCTTGCTTCGTTTGCAAAGGGTGACTAAAAACAGGCGAAAAGCTTGGCATCCCTGCTTCCATTTTGTATCCATTTTGCTCTGAGTCATTCCCTCCTGCTGTCACCTTTCAGTCACCTTGGAATTCAGGAAGGATAGGACTGAAGAAATAAACATCCTGTGACAGGAGGTGAGCTGTCTTTTGCCAGGCAGCAATGACTTGTTTCATATGACCAGGCCCTGGCTGACCAATCCTGAGATAATAGTCAACCCAGACCAAGCATTTGGCCACTGGATTACACTTTGCCTGGGACTGTTTAACTATGCACACCTTTTACCCCCTGCTCCAGTTCTTCCTCCATGTAAACCTAAGGCTCCTGTATCTGAAGATGGGCTGAAATGCTTTTCCCATGGTGTGCCAGGACCTCATAATAAATCCCCTTTGTACCCTTCACAATTACGTGCCTCTTTATTTGGTATACTGGGGCAAGTGGCTAGGCCTGACACTTGGAACGCACTGGAGTTGGGCTCTGGCTGACAACTCTGGATTCCTTTTCAGTGCATTTGTGTCTGACATGTACACTGAGGTCATGTGTGGAATTTTCTACTATGACATCGTGTTGGCACTCAAGAATTTCAGACACTGGAGTATTTCAGATTTCCATTTTTTTTTTCAGATTTCTGATTTTTTTCTTTTAGATTTACAATTTTTGTTTTCAAAAGGTTCAACTCAAACCTTATTCCTTTCAGTGACTAACAGCCTGTTGTATGGCTAAGACTCATTTTCTTATCCATTCTCAGTAGATGGACATTTGGGGTGCCTCCACTTTCAGCTGCTAGGAATAAAGTGGCTAACGAGCATTCATGCACATGTTTTTGCATGGATGTGTGTTTTCAGTAACCTGGTATAAAGCAAAGAGTGGAGAGGCTGGGTCACACAGCAGTGCTGTGTTTATGAGGGAACTGCCAGCTGCTCTCCGAAGGACTGCATCATTTCTGAGATGCGATTTAAAAAATGACAGAAGTATGACTGTGGCCTAGTGGGTATGGTACCCTAGAGTTGTGCACTGGCCTCCCTGGGGAACTGAGATGGCTTCAGCAACCTGGGCCTCCTTAGTGTCCCCTCAGGCTAAGGTCATTTCAGCTCCTGTACCTTAGTTCCTCCAGCACCTCCACCTCCTGTCTGAGGAGTTGAATTCCTTCCCAAGTCCATCCTCAGGAAAGTCTCCCGGTGAACTCTGACCTCTGACCACTGACCACATCTCCCTCACTGTAAGGAGCCTGAGTTCTGTTGCTGCAGCATCTGCACCTTTCCTCACCAAAGGACCACCAGCTTCATCTGTCTGTCCCTCCACAGCCTGTCCTGGCCAGGTCTGAAGCTGCAGGCCTGGGTCACAGGCATGGCCCTCTAATTAGTGTCTCTCTTTAGTGCCACCATCAGCCATAGGGCTAGGCACATGTGGGCAGACCTGATGGCATTCCTTTGGTTCTTTTGCCATCTCTTCCAACCTCTTGGCTACCGCTGCACCGTCATTTCCCCGCAACCTGCTAGTGACTCTGGACCCCAAGGTCACAGAGACACCTGTCCATGGCAACAGTAGATAACTAGTCTCTATTTGTGTGACCCTGCCACTTAACTTCTACAGGTCTCAGTTTCCCCATTTGTGAAACAGGCTGGCCATATTCAACTCCTTGAGTTGTCCCATAGACGCAGTCCCCGCTGCCTTCCAGTGCTTCCCAAGAAAACACCATGCTGGGCCACAGTTTTGGCCACATGGACTCCTATCCAAGCAGACACAGGCCTAGCCACACACTCACGTTTTCACATAAGGGTCTGAGTAGCCGTTGGCGTCCATGGCGGCCAGGTGTGCGCACCTCACGATGCCCACCAGCAGGCCCTGCTTCTGTGAGCTGTACTTGAGGGAGATGAGGATTCGACCTCGCTCCTCCAGGGACTTGTCTTCTGTCTTGTCCACCTGTTGGACGAGACAGTCACTCGGCTGTTCTTGCCTGCTCCCACCCACTCAGTTCCCATGGTCACTGAGACTGTCTGCCTTGCTTCCTGAGGCTGTCCTCCTGCACTGAACAGCTGGGCTGCGTCAGAGCTCCTGTTGAATGGTCACAGCCATGTCTTCTCTGTACTCTCTGCCTTCTCTCCCCAACCAGGAGGTCTGCCTGAGGTAGAGTGTGACCCTCCTAGTGCTCAGCTCCCACGGCCTCAGGTCAATCCCTCAGCCCTGTGCATACCAGCCCAGGGACCAGCAAATTCAGGCCTGAAGACCTGCATGGAATGCGGGTTAAAGGTTAAAAACCTTTAACCTTCTTGAGTGGTCAAAAACATTAAGGTGCACCTGTAATCCCAGCTACTCAGGGTTGGAGGTAAGAGGATGACAGTTCAAGGCTAGACCCAAGCCCTATCTGAAAAACAAACGAAAAACAAAAGGACTGGGGGCAGAGGTAGAGCACAGGTCTAGCAAGTTTGAGGTCCTAAATTTAAACCCCAGTACCAGCAATTAAAAAAAAGTTAAATGAAAAACTGTATTTTGTGGCACATAAAAATTATGTGAAATTAGCCAGACACTGGTGGCTCACACCTGTAATTCTAGTTACTTGAGAGCCTGAGATCAGGAGGATCGTGGTTTGAGGACAGCCTGGGCAAGTAGTTTGTGAGACCCCCATCTTCAAAATAACCAGAGCAAAATGGACTGGAGGTATGACTCAAGTAAGTGGTAGAGCACCTGCTTTGCAAGTGTGTGAAACGCTGAGTTCAAGCCCTAGTACCACAAAAAAAAAAAAAAAATGGTGTGTAATTATAAAAATCATGTGAACTTCATTAGTAAAATCTGCCTGGAGCACAGACTTGCCCTTCCATTACATCTTGCCTGTGGTTGCTTCTGCTTTACAGGAGCAGCAATGCATAGCTGCAACAGAGATGGTGGGCCCCCAAGGGCTGACGTATTTACCACCGGCCCTTGGCAGAAGGGGTCTGCCTCCGCCTACCCAGCTCTGTCTGCCTAAGCCAATCCTGGCCTTTTCTGGAGTTTGAAGCTCTGAGGCTGGCCTGCTCCTCCAGGCATTTGCTCAGGCTATGTCCACTCCCAGTGAGCCCTCCTGTCCTCACAGTGTAACGAACCTGTCTTTCCAGGACTGGCTCCAACCTAGTGGCTCCCTGACCCTCAGGTGGCTGGCTTGTCCCTGCTCCGTGCCCCAGTATCTCTGCTGCCTCTCATCACAATGCAGGTGGAACTTCCTGATTCTCTGTCTGCTCCAGACTCTCTGCCTCCGATGACAATTTTTACCTGTATCCTTTTTAAACTCCCTGCTGGGTAAGGGCCTGCCATGGAGCAACCTCTGTCAGAGACTTGTCCTAATGAAGGTGGGAACAAACAATGACAGATGGTCCGGTCTGGGTTTAACATCACGCCCTCAACTCTAGTCTGGGAGCCTTAGAGAAAGGCAACAAGGCCTTCCAGGCCTTTGGAGTCTTCTGGAAGGCAAGGGCCCAAGGCCCCAGTGCTCCTGGATGCTTCCTAGAGTCTCTTGGGTACTGGGGTGCTCCTTTGGGAGAGTCCTGAAGACAAAGCTATGTCCCCTTCCCAGACCCAGGGCAGCTGGGAGCTGGGCAGGGAAACCACCCAGTCCCCTCCTGTGCCTCAGCATGCCAAGTGCCACCTCAGAGTCAGGCCTCAACTCCAGGGTCAATATATCACTTGCTCCCACCCCAACCAACTGAAGGTGTCACCATTCTTCACTTCTGCTGCCCCCACAACCTCCCTTCTCTGTCCATTCGGACACACCCAGCTGGAGCCCTGTGTCCTTGGTGGACCCTTCCCAGGACTCTTCTGTCTTACACAGGTCTAGCCTTTGCCTAACAGTTGCGTTCTGCCTGACACTAACGTAAGTCTCCATGTGGCCACATCCAAACCTTCCTGGAGATAAGGGAGGGAAGGGCTGGGCATCGAGGTTCCACCATGACTGACAGGCTACCTTTCCTCAACTCCCACACCCAGAGCAGACATGGCTAATTGATCACAGCCCTCACTGTGAGCTCAAATGCAACAGTACATCCTCAACACAGCACTCAAGCAGCCATTACCAATGGATCTGGCCAGGTGAGTGTGACTGCTGTGCGGGCCCAGGTTTTATGTGTGAGGAACTCACTAAACTGTGGGACTTGTGGTACTTTGTGTGATGTGTGACAATTAGACAGTAGGCAGGAGTAGGGATATCTTCAGCTGTTAAACTTTGGGTTACTGCATATGAAGACCATTGAACTGGGCATTGTTCAGTACCTACTTAGAAAAACCAATGCATACAGACTATAAAATCTAAAAGGTACTACCAAAATGCGTGCTTATGCAGAGTGGTTATCCCAAACTGTACTCTTGTAGTCACTGTGTGTCCTCAAATTGACCAACAAAGTCATAGCAAATTGAAGCAATGGTCAGTAATGCCCTGGGCACAGGCAGACACTCATGTGCCCACATAGACATATATACTCATACATGCTCTCACACAAACACCCTGATGCTCATTCATACAACTCACATGCGTGAATTGTGCTTACTCTGCACATGCAGTCCATGTACTCTACAATCCACTCTCACACAGTGTGTGTTAGGCAGGCGTTCAACCACCTGAGCCACTCCACCAGCCCTTACACACAGTTGTTTGTTTTGTCTGTGATCAGAGCTCAGGACCGTCAGGACCGTGGGCACCCACATTTCCTTCCTAAGTGGCGTAGACCATTTGGAAAAACTAGGTTACCTGTGATGAGTGACTAACAATAAAACAGAAAAGGTTCCATCCATCACTGGGATGTCTATGTGGGAGAGATGCAACAGGGAACAGGGTGATCAAGTCAGGCAAAAAACAGAACTGGGCTCTTCAGGGTGGGTTCCCAGGGCTTGGCTTCAGCTAAATTTGCTGAAGGCCTGGCACATAGTGGGGATGAGGGCGGGGCTTTGTCCTCCCAGGCTTTCCCCTTGCTCAGGCCTCTGGAGGGACAATGTACCACTGCCCATGTCCTGAACACTGGGCATCTGAGGGCCCCCAGCTCTCCTGAACCAGATGAGGGCGAGGAACAAAGAGAAGGGAGGCAGAGAACAAGACTTGGAGGGCTCAGCTGCTGCAGCCAGCCAGGGGGCAAAATCTGTACTGCCGTCATTTTTTAAACAATTGCCATTTCTAGGAAAGAATTATTTGCTGTCTCCTCCGGGCATCTCAGACACTTCAAGCCTACCATGTTCCAACTGAGCTCCTGCATGGCTGTCGCCCCAGCTGCCCCGCGTTAACAGCTGCCTGGTGCCTCCAGTTGCTCAGGCCCCACACTTGAACTGCCCTTTGCCTTGCCTGAGACCCAGTCTGCTGGAACATCCCTTCTGGAAGCCAGCCTTTCTCCCACTCTCGTCTCTAGCTAGGACAGGGCCCAGCTCCTTCTTTGGCTCTGGCTTTCACTGTCTGTCCTTCTGATATCAAGAAGACATTCTGATATCAAGAGACAGTGAATCTGGTAAGCTGTCACCAGAGGGCTGGAGGTGTGACTCGGGGTAGAGCACTGGCCTAGTAGGTGCAAGGTTCCAGGTTTAATCCCCAGTATCACAAAAAAGTCACCAGATGCCATACCTGTGCCGAGCATCCTCCCGTGGCTCTGTGTCATTTGTGAGCTTCCACTCCCCACTCTCTTCTATCCCACCTCCTGGGATGGCCCCTCCCCTGACTGTCAGCTTTGCTGCTCACTCTGTGCCTCCAATGGGTGGGAAGTCCTGTCTCTCTCCCTGTACCTGCACCCCGTCAGGTTCATAGTCCATGCTCAGCCAGTCCTCCTGCCTGGGACCCTGGACAGGTGTCTGGGAAGCCTTAGGCCACTCACCGGCAACTGCTTCTCCAGGCAGATGCTGAAAGTCTTGGTGTGGTTGGGTTTCAGCTTCTTCAGAGGCACCCGCGTCTCCCCAATGAACTCGTTGTGACGGAATTTGTCCTCGTCGCACACAGAGATCCTGGGGGCAAGGGGCAAGGCCAGCGCCTCAGGATTCACAAGGGGGCGGATATGGGCAGAGCAGCCCTGTGGGTGGGACTGGGAGAACGAACGAGGGGTGGGGGAGATCTGGCGGCCTGGGGCCCTCACCCACCGCAGGGTCTTTCGGATCATGTCCTCATCTGTGATCCCGTAGTAAGTGAGGGTCTCATTCCACGTGGGATTCAGAGTGTTTCTCAGAGTTTTTGTTCTAAGCTTATTTGCCTGGGGAAAGGAAAAATGATCTTATTAGCACAGTTAGGCAGAATAATGGCCCCCAAAGCAGGCTATAACCTAGTCCCCGGAACCTGTACATACCCCATCTGACACAGCAAAGGGGGCCTGAGGTTGCAGATGGAATTAAGATATCTGAGTTGCCCTGCATGATCCCAGGGGTCCTTCAAAGTAGAAGAGAGGGCTGGGTGGGTAAAGGAAGTCGGCATCAGGCTGGCTTTGACTATGGGAGAAGGGACCATGAGCCAAGGAATACAGGTGGCTTCTGGAAGCTGAAAATGGCTGATCATTCCCCAGGACTCCAGAAGCAACACAGCCCTGCTGGCACCTTGGTCTGCAGTTCAGCAAAACCTGTGTCAGACTTCTAATCTGAAGAGCAGGGAGATAATAAATGTGTGGGTTTTTTTTTTTTTTTTTGGCGGCATGGGGGTTTGAACTCAGGGCTTCATTCTTGCTAGGTAGGCACTCTACCACTTGAGCTACTCTGCCAATCCTTTTTTGTGTTGGCTATTTTGGAGATAGGGCCTTATGAAGTTTTTGCCTGGGATGGCTTCTAACTGGGATTCTTCTGATCTCTGCCTCCCAAGTAGCTGGGATTACAGGCGTGAGCCACTAGTGCCTAGCTCCCTTTGTGCTTCTGACTGCCTGCTGGCTCATCTAGCGTGGGAACAGGGGTCCTGGGGTCAAATAAATTGGGCAGATGCTACCCACTCCGTCCTCCTTATGGAGAGTCACAGAGCAGCCCATTAGCAGATTAAAGGCTCAGATAAATCCTAAGTCAAGAACCCGTTTAATAATGTTCCCAATGGTATTTGACCACAGAGTCCTTTTTTTTTTTTTTTAACCTCCCTATATATTATTTACCTCCAGCTGAGAACGCTTCTTGTAAAATTGTCAGCCTGGAAATTCTCTGGGGTGTTCCCCAACACGGTGGGTAGATAATCCTGACCTGGAGATCTAGAAGGTGGGAGCTTTGAGTGGAGGGGAATGGCTGGGGCCCCATCAGCTTGCTGAAGGAGGTGTGGGAGCTGTGGGCCTCCCTGGGTGCCCTGGCTACAACATGAGGCTTAGGACGGAGCCGCTCACCTTACTGGCTCCCGGCAGCAGGTGCAGCTTGACGTAGGGGTCTGCTAGTCCATTGTGGTCCATGGGCTTCAGGCCCTGAGCAGAGGACACCAGCAGAGGGTATGATTTTTGAAATCGGGGACACAGAGCAGTTAGCAGACATCACTTATCTCTGGGGCTCCTGGCTGGGCCCATTTGCCTTCTGGATGAAGGCATCACAGAAGCCCCCACCCCACACTCCTAGATGGCCGTGTGCGAGGCTGGCTAGGTCTCTTTTCCCCACACCACCTTGGGCCAGGACAGGTGCCATGGGGCCCTTTTCTCTTCCTATTTGCCTGATCATGGTGCACCTGGACTAAGCAAGCCCCACTGTCCTGCTTTGGGTGGGTCCTTCCCTCTTCCCCACTCCTTTCCCACTTCCCAAACAGGGGCTTGTTAGGGACTTTTCTCTCTGACGCTAGCTCCATGTGGCTCTCTGTACTCATCCACACGCTCCCATTGGGAGCTAGAGGAAAGTGTCCCAGGTCCTGGGAGGCTGCGTGAGACCCAGCTCAGCTTCTCCTGCGTTTGCCTCAGTGCTGGCTAGTCGATGTCAAAGGTTGCCCAGCTACTGAGGGTCCTCCCACAAGATGGCACCCCTCACTAACGCTGGTTTTGGTTCCTTTTGAAAACTCAGGTGTGCACAGCCTGAGTCACAAGCAGGGGCGTGGCTGACCTCCTGCAGGGATGTCTTTCTGGAAACTGCAGTTCCCCCTTCTGGGATGGCGCACAGGAACTAGGGAGGCATGGGTGGCATGTGTTGGGTAGAGCAGCAGCCCCAGGACTGGATTCACAGACAGATTGCAAGTTGTCTACACAATTGGGTGGGGGAGAGGCTGCTCACAAGGGCAGCCCTGGGTTCCCCTCCCAAGCCTGGCCCCTTCAGTGAGGAGGGGCATCCAGGGGGACTTCCAGCTGCTAGGCTGGCCTGCGTTCAGAGCTCAGCTCCTGCTCTTACTAACTGGGTAAGAAAACAAAGCACTTTGGGTCCTCAGCTTTACAATCTGTAAAAGGGGTTAATACTGCCAACTGCCAGGGGCAGAGTAGCGTGTAGGAGGTAATACAGATACATGGCTGGCAGGCAGGGTGTTCACTTCCTTCTCTGACATGCCAGGCCCCCTGGAAGACCCCAGAGAAGTAGTTGAGGGCCCAGCGCAGATATCTGAGCTGGCCCAGAGCTGCTGGGCTGCAGCTCTGTCCTACAGTGAGGACTGGCCCCAAGGGCCTGGATGCCCTGTCTGTGTCAGTGGCCATGAGGCTGCCTTCCACACCAGTCTCATGGCTACAGCATTCAGTTCTGCAAGATGAAAAAGTTGTGGCATGGGCAGGGGTGACTAGCAAAACCACGTAAATGTGCGTAATGTCACCCTGTGTGCTTACGGATAGTTACAGTGGTAAATTTCACATTTGCATATTTTAGCACAATTATAAACAACAACCAAGTCTCACAGGACTGTGGCTCTTTGGGGGTTCTCCCAGTCCCTCCTCAGATGTGAGTGCCCTATGTCCCCAGGCATTGGGGTGTGCCTGTGAGTGTGCCACCATCCTGAAGGATGGCATTGGGCACTGAGCACTTCTGATGCAGGTGCCACGTGTTGGCTCATTCGCTGTTCACAGTAGCCACCCGGGTGGGACAATGAGCCTGATTTACAGATGAGCAAATCTAGACCAAACCTCTCCTGGGGAAATGGGGAGCAGCCCTGTCTCCACCAGAGACCCCTGAGAGGCACATGTGTCAGCATGCTTCAGCTCCTGCTTTGGGGCTCCCCTGAGCTCTTCCTATCTCTGTGCCTCTCTCCTACACAGCTGGAGTTACAGAGAAAGAACTGGAAAGTGGAGGCCATCATGGCTCTGGGGCCTCCCATCCATTCCCCATCTCTGATGCCTTCAGGGATGCACCTCTAAGAGGACACAAATATGTATGCACTCCAGTACCCATGTAGATTTGCACACGTATATACATGTGCACACACATGTGAATGCACACACACACACACATACACACACATGCATGGGGCTGAGTAAAGAAGGCAGGAAGAGCCCTGGGCTCTGGGATGGGAAGAAGGGTTGGGCTCTAGAAGGGTAGCCTGACAGCTAGTCTCTAAGCCTGGATATGATGTACAAAACTGGAATGGGGGACAGACGGGAGTTGTCTCTCTACAGCCTGGCCTCCACCTTGAGAGCTGGGGGTCCCCAGGTGCTCCACTGTATTTCTAGTAGCAGGTCAGGGCACACCATGAAGCATGGCCTGTAGAGTCCACAGGAGTGGGCAGGGCTTCAGGGTGGAGCAGCTAAGCCTCCAAGTGCCCAACCTGGGCCCAAGGCCCATGGTGGATGGTCCTCACACTTGCCCATAGCAGTCCATGTGTGGTGGCCCAGGTTGGGCTGGAGTATAAGCATGGGGTGGCTCCAGGTGACCCTTCTGGGTGACCCTCAGCAGCAGGTGGGTGGGAAGGGTAGAAGGATCCTGCAGGATTGGGTCTGGACTAGGCAGCTCTGCAGTAGTCCCTCTATCTGCACTGGGCCAGCCCAGGCCCTTCTGCAGTCCTACTGGGTGCTATACTGGCCACGTGGCCCTTACCTTTCGAGAGAACATCAACTTTGGTACCTTCTTCCCAGAAGGAGCCATGTGGCAGAAGACAAAGGGAACAGCACAGATGAGAACACAGAGCTGACACACGAGGCTCAAGGACAGAGCCATGGTTAAGGGAAATGAGGCCTGCCAGGCCATAAAGGGAGCCTCAGAGAGCAAGGCTCCAAGGGCCTTTCTAGGTCAGGCCCCTGTCTGGAGTTTCAGCTTTCAGCAATACAACCACCTACTGCTCAGGAGGCTGAGGGAGCCCAGGGGCTGGAAGCTTAGGGTAGAGAGGTCTGGAGGCATAAGCACCCAATCCTCACTCCCTCTCTGGCTGCAGGACAGACCTCCCCCATCCCTTCCTATCCTGAATAACCCCTCCTTGCCCTGTCCCTGCCCAGCCTCCCTTCCCCCCTTTTCACCTCAAATTCCTTACTGTACAGGGCTTTTGGGGGGAAGTGGACAGTTGAGATGGTTTAAGCAAAAATTTCCCCTGCACTATGTCCCACACAACACAGACACTGCAATGCCTGGACAGGAAGGACAGGGAGGACTGACCCCCAGCCTGGGCAGTTCCTCTGGAGCCTGGAACTGGGGAGGGGGTGGGGCCTACCTTGGCCTTGCTGATGGTGCAGTGCAGGGCATTGTTCTCCTGGTCATAGAGCAGGCTGAAGTCCAGAGTGCCCAGGGCAGCTGCAGGCAGAAGAGGGCACAGGTTACACACTGGTTACTCCCTGAAGGAATGGCATCCTTCTATGTGTGGCTTGAAGAGTCACATTTTTTTAAAAGATTTAGAAAAATCAGCACAGGACAAAGACATTCATCATAACCCTTCCCAGAACAAGTGAACATGCAGAGTCTGCCTGAAATGAAAGCGGCAACACCGATCTCACAGCAACCAACAGTCTGCACAGACGGAACTCCCAGGACACCCACCCCAATCCCACTCTCTGCTCCTACAGACACTAGCTGTCACTAGCGTCTATCTGCAGGGCTGCTGTACAAACTAATAGGCAACATCATTTTTGTTTTTAAATAGCTGAAATTAGTTAAAGCAACCAAAGTATTACTGTCACAGCAAAGCTTAGTGATACCATACAGGGACTGCACTAACGACATTTTAAATTATCCAAATGACTTCTGGACTGAGATTAGGAAGGACACAGATTTCCCAGCTGCGGTACACTGATGGCTGGCCAAGAGCACAGATACACATTCACATCTCCAGTGAAAGGCATTTACCACCACCACCCAATCCATGAAACTCATGAGTGAAGGGGTGTGGCTCAGTGGGAGAGCGCTTGCCTAGTGTGTACAAAGCCCTGGGTTTCATCCCCAGCACCAGAGGAAACAAACAACAACAATAAAACCCCTCAAGTTTTACAAAAGAAAAATTAAATCCACATATATTAACAAACCATTCCTTCCAGTATGGAAGAATATCTCTACTTTTTTTTTTCCCCTAGTTAGGAATGAAAGATGCCACCGTTCCCACAGAGATAGTCACCAATTGAGCACCTACTGTATACCAGAGCCTTTACCCTGGTCCCACCCAACTCTGGGAAATGACAATGTTCTGTCACTCTGATGAGGAGCTGAGGCTTTGAGAGGCAGTAACCACTTGAGCCCCATGAGTGATACTCAAGTCACACTCAGACAGTTGGCCCTGCCCAGCCCCGGCCCCTGCACTGCACTGCCTGGTCTGTCCCAGTGTGGTGCCCACATATACCAGGCATTCTGTCTTCTGTGTACAACTGCCAGCCTGGGTGCCATGCCTCAGTTTACCTCATGTGGGCAATGTCACAGGGCTGAGTAAGAAAGTGGAGGAAACTGGGCTTTGAGAGGCTGCAGGCCCTGGCCACGAAGACCAGCTGATCCACTCAACCCGCCCTGAAGGTCACATGTGCGACTGCTGCTCCCCAGTCTCTTGGGGACCCTGGGTGGGCTGCATTGAGCCAGCTGGGTTCTCATGCTGCCCCCAAATGTCAAATCACAGTAGTGATTCCCAAGGGTCAGGCAGCAGTGGAGAAATAACTAGGCACAGCTGTCATCCTCAGGGCAAGTCACTCATTGCAGCTGTGGCCTCCCATGTCCCAGGGGTTCTCTCAGGAAGACCAGAGCAGGGGCAGTGGAGACCTCAACTCAAGTCCCCAGAGAGCAAGATGCACAGTCCCAGATGTCTCAAAAGTCCTGATCCTGCCAACTGCTGGGCTGGTCACAACAGTCTGGTGAGCTGAGAGCTATGGGGTCCCAAAGAGGGACGCCTACCCTTCATATCAGCTGGGTCCATCAGGGGAGGCTTCAGGTGATGGTTCATCTGAGCCAGGAAGGATCAGTAGGAGTTGGCCCAGGGGCTTGGAGGGGACAGGTTAACCACAGGCACCTGGCAGGCCAGCCTGAGAAGCTGGAACAATGCCAGGGTGAGGCAAGGGTCAGGGAGAGGTCTGCATTGGACTCCCAGCTCCAGTCTAAATCAACTCTGACCACGCCCACCTGCACACTATTCACCAGCTATGGCCACGCCCACTCACGCAGGGAGTGCTTTCCCACGGCAAAGAAAGAGTGGCCATGGGCTGGCAGAGCGGCTGAAGTGGTACAGTGCCTGCCTAGCAAGCGTGAGGCTAGGACTTCAAACCTGACTACCACCAAAAGAGTGGCCACACACATCACTTGCCTACAGGGCCATACTTCCAACATGGCCCTTTGGCTTGTAGCTCCTGAGACAGTAAGGGGGCAGGGGGCAAGACATGACAGGGCACGACAGCTTCTTGGATCTGCAGGGAAATGGATGCACCAGGGGATGACATGCAGTGGGTAGCATCTGTCATGTTCCCCAGAGGAGAGGCACCCAACTCATGTCTCTAGCCTTGCCTGTGGCACAGAGTGGGGGGACAGCACCTGATGTTGGACTCCCTTGGTTCAATCTGGGCACTTCCTTGCTGTGTGACCTCTTTATGACTCAGTCTCCCCATCTGCAGACTGGGGAGATGTGTCTGGGGTATTATGAGCACTAAGCAGATGATTACAGGGGCAGCAGATCTATTTAAGTGGCGTTTCTAGGTAACAGTGCTGGTCCCTCTGAGGCTGTCCTGGAAGGAATCTATCCTAAACTGGATCACTCCCCTCCCTGCCTTTGGGAACAGAATATACCAATGGTCACTTGAGCTTCCGAGTAACCAGAGTCATCGCAATGACTGTAATTACTCTTCTGTGTGTCACCGTCACAGGGGCGTGTATCCATCCTTCCAGCAGGGATTTCAGGGAGCCCCTACTGGTAAGGTTTTCTGCCTACTGAAACTTCTACTAGAGCACAACCAGCTTGCTCTCCTATTCAGTTTCCTCCATGAAACCAGTTAGGATTTCATGATACTGTGTCCGACTAAAGAGTCAATAGGTCTGGCGCAAGCCTAAGGTATTCCTCCCACCCCCCAGTAGAGCTTGTGTGATTAGTGGGAACTGAGTCTGGTCCTTTGCTGCCTGCATCACAGCTCCCATCTGTGCAGGTGGGCAGGTGAGGATGCACATGTATCACCAGTAGCACAGCCACAGGCCCAAGCCGCATTCAGCTGCAGCTTCTGTAATAACAATTTCCAGAACTGTTGGTTTTATAAGATTGCTGCTCAGTTCAGGCCCACCCTGGCCACACCTATGAGGCCATCGAGCAGCAGATGCTCAGTCCACATGGGAGTCCATTCAGACCATCTTGCTTTCCAGTTGCTCTCAGAGCAGAGATGTGGTGTGCTGTCATTGTGAGGAAACTCACACTCCATGCTGTCTGTCTGTCTTCTAATCCCAGAGAAGGATGAGTGGGGAGACACAGGCCACCTTCTCCCCACAGGGAGCTCGGCCTCCAGAAGGGCCCCTGCCACCACTGTTATCAACTCTGCATGTGCCCTAGGATGGGATTGATGACGTTCTTTAACTCTATTGGAATTTCTATAAGAAATGCTAGTTTATAAGTGGAGGCTCAGTAATAATTTTTTTGGGCACTAACGAAATTTAAACTCAGGGCTTCAGGCTTGCTAGGCAGGCACTCTTTCACTTGAGCCACGCCTCTAGCCCTTTAGCTCTGGTTATTTTGGAGACAGGGTCTTGCACTTGCCTGGCTTGGACCATGATCCTATTCTAAACTACCTACCAGAACTGCAATGATAGGCGCTATCCACCATGCCTAGCTTTTGCTGTTGAGATGGTGGGGGGTCTTGCAAACTTATTTGCCTGGGCTGGCCTAGAACTCTGATCCTCCTGATTTCAGCCTCCCACTAGCTAGGGCTGACAGAAGCACACCTCTGTGCTCAGCCATTGGTTGAGATTGGGTCTTGTGAAAACTTCCTGCCCAGGCTGGCCTCAAAACCTCGATCTTCCTATCTCAGCCGAGATTCCCAAGTAGCTAGGATTATGGGCCTGAGCCACTAGTGCCTGACTTTGGTCACAATTTTGAGAGACTTGTGGGGGCACAGTGAGGAGAAGTTGTCTTAATGAGTGCATCGTCCCACGTGTTCCCTTCTCATTTGGAGAAATGCAGCTCAGAGAGGGGAGGATAGCTGGTCAGGGTGACCCAGCAGAGCTGGGGAGTTTCTGCCTTAACATCTAGTGGCTTCCTGGAACTTTTTGTTTGCCACACTGTTTAACTGAAGTCTTCGGAGGTGAAACAAAAGAGAAAAGCAGGGCTGCTGCTGAGGAAGAGGAGGGGCTCGCTGCATCCCTGAAAGAGCCTGAGCTGGAAAGCACCCTGGGCTGTGGAGGGCCGGAAAGGAGGGGAGGTGCTTCTGTGTGTGAGATCCAGTGGCCCTGCCCTTGGAACCACTCAAATCATGTGCCCGAAGTTTACATCTCTGGAAAAATAATGAAGGTTGGTCACTAATGGGCCCTTGAGAGTTGTCACCCGCTTGTCGATAATTATAGAACTTTAATGGGGCTAATTCAGAGAAAATCAAGCCTCAAGCCCCTGTTGGTTCCTCTAAGGTGGAACATCCCCCAGCTGTGCGGGTAGAGACCGACAGACAGCCTCGTTCTGACCTTGGTCTCACCTGAACTTGCGTGACCCATACATCCTTGGGAACAGAAACTCTGGCCTGATTCATTTTCTTTCTTTCTTCCTTCCTTTCTTTTTTTCTCTTCCTCTCTTTCTTTCTTTTCTCCCCTCCCTCTCTTTTTCCTCCCTCCCTCCCTTTCTTACTGAACAAAAATGTCAGCTTCTGAAATAAAAAAAAAAAAATGAAGTCTGGGGGTAGAGTTCAAGTGGTAGAGCACTTGCCTAGCAAGCCTGAGGCCCTGGGTTCAATCCAGTAACACCCATCACCACCACCACAAAAACAAACAAACCAACAACAAACAAAAAAACCCTGTGGTAAGAACCATAAAAATTATCAAGCCTGATTTGAAAGCATTTCAGTTGGGGAAACTGAGGCACTGAGCCAGGCAGGTACTGCATGGGGGACAGAGGAATGAACTATACATCCTGCTTCCCGGAGGCTTCGAGGCAAAGGCTTAGGACTTTTACACATCTCTTTATTCCTTACTTTAAATTGTTCAAAAGTTCTTCATCACCTCCCAGATTCTGCTCAACCTTCTTGGTGTGGCATTTGAGACCTTCTGTGATATGACTTCTTTGGCCTCATCACCAGTTTTTTCCCATTGCCTCAGCCACTTGGCTGTATTGTGCCTCTGCCTAGCTGTGCTTCCCATGATTCAGCAGCTGTGCACACCCGTTTCTCCTTCTACTCTGTCAGTCTGCTCCCACCTTCCTCCCTGCCAGAGTAGAGCCCTCTCTTTGGGTGTCCTCTGAGCATGCCAGAGCTTCCTGTTTGGACTCCTGCCTCCTTACCCCTCACTGCTGGGCCACTAGTTGGGTTTCCATGAACACCTGAGGTCAGAGGTTGTGGCATGCTTGTGTCTTCATGCCTAGCACACAGCTGGTGTAATGCTGAATGCATAAAATATGACAACAGGTCAGGGCAGAACATGACTGAAACCCACAGAGGTCCTGGGCTTGAAGGCAGGGGAACCATTTCCAGTGAGGACTGAGATCAGCTCCAATCAAGTAGAGCCCTTATGACAGACCCAAGAATGATTCTTCCACTTTCCCCTTGCTCCAGACCTCCACAGGCATCAATCCTAACCTGACCCATGGTGAGTCATGCAGGAGCAGGTTGAAGCATGGGCATGTAGTGTAATTCTGGCAGATGAGACAAAAAGACAGGTCTCTTGGGACCTTCTAGGAGAGGTTTTTTTTTTTGTTTTGTTTTGTTTTTTATCTTAAACTGAGATGTCGGGGAGGAAGCTTGTCCTTATCAAATCTAGACCTTATTATTACATGTGATGCCTGGACCCACAGCAGCCACCTTGGACCATGAGGGTCCTGCTCAGCTGATGGAGGCTATCAACATCATTAGGATGGTGGTTTGCACCTGGTCATTCCTTATCTCTATGCCCTTGGGAATAGGAAATCTGCTCCAATTTTCAGCCTAAGAGGAAAAGAGCTGGCCAATTGGAAGGAGGAACAGAAGCCTTGCCACTGATGGTGGTGAGTTGCTGCCAAAGCAATGCACCCTGGTGCCTCAGGACCTCCTCTGCCCTCCTTGTTCAAGTCACTTTGAGTTGGGCTTTCGTTACTGGTAATCCAAAGCACCCTAGTCACTACGGTTTTGAGGGAAGGAGTTGGGTTCCTTCCACAGTGAAGAGCAGGTGGGAACCACATCTCTGCAGGGGGAGCATATGCAGTGTGAAGGGCACAAGGCCTGTCTTGAGTGTGCACAAAGAAGTCAGCTTGGGACACCTGGGAGGGGAGCCCTGGGCTGGTGCTTTTAATCCTGTGCTCTGCTTTCTCCCCAGCTGCCTCTCTGGGAGATCTGCTGGGAACATGTGGATCCTGTCCTGTGCTTCGGGGTGACTAACAAAGGAAGGTCTTGAAAGAGGGGGTAAAGGCTGAAGAAATAAACACTTCCCTCTCTGCTTGGACGACAGAGCAGCCGCCCTAATTTCTTCTTGTCAAAACAGAGATAATCCAATAATTAGGGCAGCAAATAGCATAACCCTGGCTAAAGCAGTAACGAACCATCTGGCTTGAATCATTCAAGCTTATTCTAGGTATCTGGTTGTCAGAACTCAGAGAGGCACAGCCTGGGGTACTGGCTCCCCACCTCAGGAGCCAGGATTCATGCACTCCCAGCCACAGATGGGATCCAAGCCCACGGTGGTCACCCTTAAAGGGGGCGAAGCTAAGCCAAGCTGCACTAGCTCAGCCACACACCCTCCTCCTTAGCTCTGCACCTTCCAGCCTTCTTTTCAGTGTTCCTTTAGTGTGTCCTGGTGATATGGGTGTGGCCAGCCCTCCCCTCAAGCTGGCAAAGCTGTGTCCAGGTCGGCCCTTTGTGAGTCCCCAGCTAGGACACCTGTGTGCTCTGAGTCCAGGGACCCAGCCTGTTCCCTTTGCCTACTCCCTGTGACTGGGACAGTGCTTGGTGATGGACTACTGAGATGACTGGGTGATGAGACTGCTGGCCTGAGCTTTGGGCTTTCTGGTTCCCTCCTCACCTGTGGGATCTGGGACAGTCAAAAGCAATAACCAAGTTTCTCCCCTCTTGGCCATAGTCATATCTGATGGGTTGCTGTGGCACCTGGAGGTTAGCCAGGAACTCGGCAGAAACCCTGCCCACCCACTCACTCTTTGGTGCAGCCGTCAAGATGCTGGAAATGGGAACCACTTCTATCTCTTCTCGGGCTGGCTCTGGATCCAGGGCAGCTAAAGGGCTGACTTGGGTCCCAGATAAGGGCCTCCCCAGAGGCCAGTGAGCACCAGGGAGCTTTGCACAGGGAGCCAGGAGCTGGGGTGGGGGCAGATCCAGGGCACAGCCTTGCAGGCAACAAACTCTCCCGACCCAATTTCTCCAAGTCCAAGACGCAGGAAAGCGAGGGAGAGGATTGCTCCCCAGCCCCCATGCCAGGGGGCAGGTCCTCAATATGCCTTGGGCCACAGCAAGCAATGTCCCCAAAGAGGCCATCTCTGGCCCACCACTGAGATTGGGCGATGAGGGGTCCGTGCCTCGGGTGACACTGTGAATTCCTACCTTCAGCTTCCACAGGCGCATGTTATATACTGGGAAACTCCAGGCCCCAGTCCAGAGGCTAGGGGCAGCGCCCAGGCCAGGCGCAGCCACCATTGAGCTGGAGGCTGGACGCGCCCTGGGAAAGCGGGCGCTGAACCCCGACCTCAGAAGGTCCACATTCCTGCCAGGGCTAGGTTTTGACAGTGGTTTTCAGGTCTGAGTGACGCGGTGGAGGCCACAGTTGGGTTGGGGACTTTCCACGCAATGCCTCCCTGCACCCCCGCGCAAAATAATGAGCATGGGACCTGGCCTCTTCCCCCTTGATTTCCCTGGTGATCCCAGGTCTTGCGGGGCAGGCACCCTAAGAGACTGCACAAGGCGACAGGAGTCCCGCCGACCGGGCCTCGGCCGGGAGGATCCCGGCGTTTGCGCGCTCCCTGGGGCTCGGTGCGGGGAGGAGGGGGCGCGGCTGGGGGGCCCTTCCTGCTCTGGGAAGAGGGCGTAACAGGTGGGTGAAGGTCCGCGGCCCGCGAGAGCGCCGCGGCGGGATCCACGAAGGCGTGAGGAGGAACCGCCAAGGTTTTTCCAAAGGACAAGCGGCCCCGCGGTCCTCCTGGTCCTCGGCCCGCGCGCCAGCAAAGCCGCGGCGATGTGCCGGCCGCCGGGCCCACCCGGGAAGCCGGGCCGGCCCCAGCCGCCGACCCCTCCCCAGCTCGCCGCATTCCGACCCTCGGCCGCAGGGCCGCCGGGAGCGGGCTCGCGGGCCCGGAGCGACCGCGCGGCCGGCAGCAACTGGTGTCTCCCCGGGGCGCAGCTCCGCCCTTCCCGGGAACAAAAGCCGCCGCCCGCGCCGGAGCTCCCGGCGCGCGGGCCGAGAGGAGGCGCGGCGCCGGCTCCCCGCGGAGCCGGGGCCCTGAAATGGGACACCCCCAGAGGGCGCCCCCAAACTTCCCACCTCTCCCGTGCGGGTCGGGGAAGGTGTCGGGTGGGTCTGCAGGGCGCACGGAGAGCGTGGACAAGGGGGCTGCGACCCGGCAGGAGGGCGATGTATGCCCAAGGACAACGAAAGCGACGCGAGGGGACCGAGGGGGCGCGCGAGGCCGGGGCGTGAAGTCGGCGAGTTGGAAACTTACTGCAGTCGTCCGATTCGTAGCCGTCGGCGTCTGGCTCCTCCTCGGGCGGCTTGGCGGGCGGCCGCGCCGGGCTGGGGCTGGGGCCGGGGCTGGGGCCTGGGCTGGCTCCGTAGGCTCCGAAGAGCTGGTCCACATCCTCGTCGTCGTCGCGGGCGCCGTCGGAGGGGCTGCGGCGGCCCGCGCTGGCGGCGGCCGGGCGCGCGGGGGCGGCCGGGGTGCTTCGGCGCGGGGCCCGGCGGCCGGGGGCAGGCCCCGCGGGAAGCGGGGGAAGTAGTCGGAGATCTGCTTGATGGGCCGGATGGGCCAGGACACACGTCGATGGCCATATGCTCCTGGATGCTGATGGTCGCCTTCTGCCCTCGCCGCCGGAGGGTCATGCAGGCAGCGCCGCCACGCCCGGGCGCGGCCCGGCCCGGCGCGACCCCGGCCCGGGGGCGGCTCAGCAGGCCCGGCGGGGCGCGGCGGAGGCTGCGGGCATCGCCGGCTTTGCCCCCGGACGGCCCTGACGCGGCTGCTGCCTGCTCGGCGGCGGCCGGCGCAAGTGAGTGCCAGCTGCCGGCAGGCAGGGGGCGGGCCCAGCCCGCGTCACCCGGTAGCAACCAAGCAGTGTGAGTGTGCGGGCTGCGCGGGCGGGCGCCGAGCGAGCGAGCGAGCGAGCAGAGCCAGCCGAGCGCCGCCACATTCACTCGCACTCACACCAGCGCGCACGCCGACCCGGGACCCCGCGCGCGCACACACGCGGTAGGGCAAGGCCACCGGGCGCCTTCCACTCACAGGACAAGTGGGGAGCTGAGCAGGGCTCCGCGCACTGTCTCAGCACACCCAGGTGTGCACGGCACTCCACGCACACACAAACGTGTCCAGACACTTAGGTGATTTCCACCTGCTCAGGGGTGTAGGATATATACACACCATACATGCACGCTTGCAGAATTGGCCCTCCCCAACACACACATGATCGAGAATACCCAAGGCACAGCCTTGCATGCCCCCAAGCACAACTGTCAGAAACCCCCTCCCATGGGAGACCTGGGCAAGGCCTCCTCAAACCTCCAGGTTTAGGACACAGCACACTCCTAGGAGTGCAGGGACAGCTGCTCACACACTTGCAGGACATGTGCACCCTAAGACACTGCTGGTACAAGCTATGCACACTTCCTCTTATGTCTCATACAAACTCGAGCACTCCCTGTAGCCTCCAGTCAGCCCCTCAACTCTGTCAGTGAGTGGTTTGAAGGACCCACAGGGACAGGCTGGATGAGGACCCAGACCAGGGCATGGTGAGGAGGGGGCAAGGGCAGGCAGGATTTGGGCAGAGGAGACCCTTCTTGTGCATGATGGGGCATGAAGCAGAGTTGGAAAGGCAGGGTGTCACCTGCCCAGCCACTTCCACCTCGATGGACAGATAAGTAAACAAATCCCTAACAAACTGAGGTCCAGCTTTCTGGGAATAGCCCTGCTGGGAACAGGCTGCTGCTTATACAGGTGTGTCCCCTGAAAGCCCTGGCATGGATGGAATCTTGTTTACTCACTGATTTCCTCCTACCCTTTAGAGACAATTAACCCTCTGGGCTGAGTCCCTTCTGTGAGTCTGATTGAAGGGGCCCCCAGTTTGTGCCATCCCACACCACAAGCCCTGTGAAGGGCAGGGAGCAGAGATAAGAGAGGAGAAGAATTCCCCTTGTTGCTTCCAGCTGCATCATTCTGGCAGGCCATTCGAGCTCCGGAGCCTCAGTTTACCCAGCTGTGAAATAGAGCTAATTCCAGCCTCACAGGATTGTGGTGAGGCCCTATTCACACAGAACATAACAGGTATGAGGCATTCAACAGGTCTGCTTTCTCTTCTCCCTTCCCTTGAGAGAAAGACTCATTGGTGAGGAAAGGTGGAGAAATATTTTGTTGCATGTTAAGTTCTGAGCTGTAGGGTGGTGGTGGTGACTGCCTACCTTTGAAAACTACATTTTCAATGTTTCTGTGTTCAAAACTGCATCTCATCCATTTCTTTACTACCACCATGATGTAGGCAGAGCACACTCTTGCACTATTTTGAGGTAAGAAAATTAAGACTCAGGCCTGAAATGACTGCTTGCTGCTAAGAGCTGGGATTAGAACTCGTGTCTTTAATTTTTTTTTTTTTTTGTGGTACTGGAGTTTGAACTAAGGGCTTCAAGCTTGCTAGGCAGCACCTCCAATCCTGTGTCTTTGACTTTTTTGAGCTTTTCACTCTCCCTTCCTCCACCTTTCCCGCCTTCACGCCTACAAAGCCCAGAGGGGTGGGGGCACAGGTAAAACCTGAGGCTTCTTGGGTAGGGACAGCACAAAGGAGGAGAAGGAGAAGAAGAAGGAAAAGGAGGAGGAGAGGAGGCGGGAGATCTTCTGAGATCTTTGGGGATTACTGTAGGAATGACCTGGCCTGGGAGAAGTTGGTCTAGAACAATCAAGGTCCTGGTGGAAGTTCAGCCTTCTGAGAGTCAAGGGAGGCAGAGGAGCCTGTACTTATGGGATTCTCATTCTAGGACTACTTAAGGGAATTAGTCCTTAAATAGGCACACAGTGACTTTTGCTGCATCATAAAATGATTATGTAATGATACGGGTTAACATACAGACTCGGAACTGCCATTTCACAATTCCTTTACTAAGGAGCAAGAGGATGTGATCATCTTGCAGATGGGGAAAATGAGGTTTCTGGTAGTCAGGTGACTAGCAAGAGGCAGGTGGGGGCAGGAGCCGCCACACACTGACCCCCTGACCCTGTGCCCTTTCAGTGTCAAAGTCACTGAAAGAGATGTGTAGGGCCTAGCCTCCAAAGCATAGGAGCCAAGGAAAACCAAGATGCCCACTGGAGAAACGTGGTGTGTGTGTGTGAGCTAACCTCTGGCAGGTGGCAGAGTTGAGATCCATTCTGAGACTGAATTTATGCAGCCATGAGCCTAGCAGAGATGGGGTGGGGCCCATGATGGAGTAGAAGTGGACAGACGTACAGTTTCTAGAAAGAACCTGAGTCAGGAAGCAAGACAAAAGCCATGTCTAACTAACTATGTGTTAGTTAACTAACTAACTAACCAACCGTGTCTGACTCTGTGCAAGTTGCTTGATGCAGGCCCCCAGTCTCACCTGTGAAATGGGGAATGGAACAACAGTGGCAGAACTGAAGGGAGGCTAGGTATCAAACGCCTGCCTCCCACACTGCTCGGGAGGTAACAGGTGCTCAGTGAATTGGAGTTTTCTTCCTACAGCCTTGCCGGCCTCAGTTTCTCTACCAGTGAAATACAGTTGGCTGCTCTTCCTGTCTGCTGCCAGGACCAGATGAGGACACTGAGCAGAAGTACATTGAGAGGTAGATACACTTGCCACAGCTGGGTGCTGGCTGGCCTGTGTGGACCTTTAACCACCTGGGCATGTCCAAATCCCCATCAATCATGTTGCTGAGGTGGGAAGCTCAGCAGCTGGACCAGCCCTTGGCAAAGGTAAGAGTCTGCCCTTGTTCTGAGCCCTTGAGAGCCTTGTCCCCCTGCTTCTCCCTCACCTGCTTTTCCAAACAGGCTTCTGAGCTCTCAGCACCCCCACCCCCTGTCCAATGGGGTAGAAATTGGCTCCTCAAAGTATGGTCCGACATCACCTGGATTCCAGGTCCCCACGTCACAGCCACTGACCCAGAATATGTGTGCACAACTTCAGATGTCTTAACAAGCACGCTTGGATTATTTTCATGCACAATGAAGGCTGAGAATTGTTGGGTTGTGAGGTGCTAATGGCACAACAGTGACTCTCAACCCGCTGATGGCCCCACGCTATGCACGTGTGTAATGCCCGCTGTCAATAGCATCTCCCAGTATTTAGCAAAATTCTCAGCTGGGAAGTTGAGTGCCTGATGGGTGTTAGGCCGTTACTGGAATTTCTAGAGGGGTTTGGCAAAACCTTAGAGGGAGCCTGATGTACCCCACCTTGACCTCTTCTAGCTCAGAACAACCAGATAATGCCTTATCTTCAAATAGGTGACATGCATTTTTGAGGAAGTGGCCTTACACAGCACATGGGTGGATGTCCTTGGCTGGCATCTCTGGCTGTGTTGGGGGGGAGGAAGGCTCTCCCCTGGCCCTGGCCTAACATGCAGCTCCAGTTTGTCCATCCTCCCGTGATGACTGGGGGAGCTCTGTCCTGCTGTGCCGCTAGAACCTTGTGTGTACTAACAGGAATTTTTAACCCAAAGGAGAGGCGGGTGGAGGAATTTAGACACTGCTTCTGGTTGGCAGAGAGAAGCGTTCCAGGGGCTCTTGTTCTTTCATTTATTTATGAATCCACATTTCAACAAATGTTTACCAAGCAATGCCTCTGTAACAGGCCCCGTGCTGCGGTCTGCAGGGGGTCTGGTCTTAGATTTAGGGGCAAATCAGCTACTCTGGGTGACTTGTGCTTTCTCTGCACCTGTGTGCACACTGTGACCTCAGCACAGGGAGCGTGGGGGAGTGCCAATGCAAGCAAGTCAGCTTAAGTTTTTGCAATATAGCTTGTGCCTGCTGTGGGGTAAACTTGATGTACTAAGCGATATTAAAAATGCAGCTATTTCTGAAAATTTATTATGCACATTCTCCTGAACACATTACACTGGTCACAGTACATTTACAACTGCTAGGCCTAGAGTGGGGACAAGTTAACACTTACCTAATGGCGTTTCACAGATGTAAATGCTCTGGAGCTGCTGTGATGGGCTAAATGGCCCAAAGAGGGACTTCTTCCTTCCTTGAGGTCTAGGGAGCTGCTCACCTCACCGGCCTTAGCTTTCCAGATGTGACATATGAGGCCTGGGGAGACAGAGGGCCTGGCTTGAGGTCCTACCAAGCAGATCTATGGCTCACAGCTGAGGCTCTTTACATCTGCCCCCCCCCACCCCGCCCTCAGGAAGGACTAGGCTCTGTCCCTTCACACTGTCCAAAGTCTGATCCACCAGGCTGGAAAGAGGCTCAGGGAAGAGGCTCACCTGCCAGGAGGGACTTAGCAAGGGGTCATCGGGCTGACTTTGACAGATCAGATCCTCCAAGTCCTCTGAGGAACTTCCAGAAAAGACCTCTGGAAGGAAGAAGAGTGTAGTTTGAGTCTTAGGTCACAGAGTGCATCCACCATCACCCCTGGCCCAGGCTGGTGGCCATTGAAGATTTGTTCAAGTAGCCTTCAGGTCTGGGGTGGACATCTCAGATTCTAAGTGGATCAGAATGACAGGAACTTGGTGCTGGGGTGTAGCTCAATATTGAGTGCTTGCCTTACATGTGCAAGGCCCTGGGTTTGATCCCCACCACTGCTCCTGCTGCCCTCAAAAAAAAAAAAAAAAAAGAAAAAAGAACTCAAACTAACAGTTTTGAAACCTAAGGCAAATGGCT